AATATTTATCTCTGGAAAAATATTTGTTGGATGGTCTTAAATGAAACTAAACCAGGTATTGTGGTGGTACAGTTGTAAAAGTAATCAGCTGCTATGCAAAAAGCCCATGATCTGCTGTGTGGGAGGAAGATGAAGTCAGCAGTAAGCTTCAGTAAAGATGTACACTTTTGGAAATGCTGGGTAAGTTTATTCTGTCTTACAGGGTTGCTAGGAGTTGGAACTGATTCCATGGCAATGGGTTTAGGTATCATGTTATGATGTAGTTATTCAATAGTTTCCTTTTACATAAAAAGTTGATGATAATAGTAATGACTAGAAAGTAACGACTAAATTTGTCCTACAAATGAAAATGTATCAGGAATGTGGCTAATAAACACATGCTATATGTAATTACAAATACTACTTATTAACCAATATTTTAGTAAACTGAGCCTTATATGTAATTTATAAAATGCCTTAAATTTCTAGCATATTATAAAATTTATTAAATAAAAATTATAAGCTGGCATTCTATTTTTCTTTTTTACAGTCAAATGTACTACTTAGTCAGATGGAGTATGTTTTTGCCAGGCACATGTATTTTTACAACTCTATAATGATAATAGAGTATCCTAATACAAGACAATTTATGGTGTATATCATATAAAGCCAATGATTATTTAAAATCTCCAGAGATTAAAGAAATTATATAATAGAATTGAAAATGCCAATGGAAAAAGTAATTCTGAGAAACTGTCAGAAATAATCAACTGAAATAAATACAACTTTTAATAGTCAACAAGATTAGATGGCTAACTAAAAATGTGTAGATTTCAATACACAGTAAAAGCAACATGAATCTCTATGGAAAACAGATTTTATTGCATTCTGAGCTATATGAAAAAATTATCAGCCAACTGAAAACTGTTGTTGTTGATTGCCTTCGAGTCAAGCATGACTCATTGCGACCCTCAAAGGCCCTTATAGGTCCTGTAGAGAGGCCTGAAGCCCCTCTACAACTATCGACATTTATCAAAGTTCATAGAGTTTCCAGAGGCATGTTGTTTAGGAAGTGGATGCCACTCACAGTCTAAATTTTTCATTATTATTTGTCTTATAAAATTAAAAACTACAGAAAGGATGGAAGAAAAAGAATAATCCTCATTTCAATCTTTCAGTGCATCTGGTAGATGATATAAAGATATAGAAAGATGGGAGCTCTGGTGGCCTCGTGGCAAGAAGCTGCACTGCAATCCCAGAGGCACACGGTTTGATTCCACCAAATGCCCTGGTGGAGAAGGAGGGACAGTCTTTTGTGTCTGTCAGATCCGATGTGATGGTACACACACACACACACAAATAAAATTTAATAAAAAAATATAGAAAGACATGAACTTGAAGAACATTTAGGCTTCTTCCTTGAAAAAAAAAATTAGGGAACTTAAGGATGGGAAGAAGATTGTCTCATGGACTGGAATGTAAGCTTAGCTGTAACTAAACTCTATATTGCTTTGAGGTAACTAGTGTTGAAAATCTCAAAAAGATTTTCTAAAAAAGAGCTGGAAAGGAGAGAGGAAAATTTTTGTCCTGGAAAAGTGTTCTTTGATGCAAACAGAAATCCATCTTACAAAGGAAGAAGCAGAGATGCACTGTCTTAAAGACTTCTAGAAACAGACAAGATCATAAATTTGTTAAACTTTTGTTGTTTCTTCTAAGTATTTTGTCAGCCTTGAGATGTCTTACATTGGGGAAAAATTTCTAAAGTGCATAATATTAATAAAATTTAACTTGAAACACTGACTGACATCTTTTTTTGGAGAGAAAAGCATACAGAATCTTAATTTCTTTAAAACGTCAAAAAAAGATCAAGTAATTAGTTGCTGATATTATTTTAGATATTTTCTTTTGGTATCACTTTTATGTTCAGAGAGATAAAGACATAGAGACACTAAAAGTATTTGACAACAGATTTACTTTTTAAAAATGTTAAATTGCAAAGCAGAAGTGTTACATTTAATCAACATCATGTTGATTAAATAGATTTTAATCCTTTTTAATCTAATAAGAGTAGAATGAACTTCAGAATTCATATTACAAATTTCATATAACTAGAATGCCAGACAAATCTTAAAAGCATTATTTTTAATTGGCAACAATAATGGAATTTAAGACTTTTACTGTTTGTTTATTTTCTGTAATGGTGAAAATTATAATAACAGTACATATTTTAGTTAGCTTTTACTACTGCTGCCCCATTCTATCACATACATCAATACAACTCACAATTGTAGAAGGTAGATACTAAATTTTCTTTTACACTCTGTTTTAAGAAAACAGAGAAGTGACACTTTGACAGAAGTAAATTTATGGTTGTCAGGATTCTGTTGTTCTTTAATGAAAACATTGACATGTGATAACTTACTGACTCATGCAATAAGACTTGCAAAAATATGCATATTAGACTTCATTTGTTAGAGTTTTTCTACAAGACTCTTAAACAGGAAATTTATCTTACACAATGCCTATGAAAACATATCCTGCTGTCATTCTGAATATTTCTTATTGACATGTAACTTCCTTTGATGAGAAAGTGACATAAATCTAATATTCTTTTACAAAAAATTTCCCATATCCCAAGAATGTTCTTGTTGTGTACCACCGAGTCGGAACGAACCCATAGCGAAGCTGAGCTGACCAACGGGCGGGTTTTCAGAGGTAGTCAGTCCTGGTGGAGGAGACTTCTCATCCTCCCACAAGAGCAGCTGATGGCCTCAAACTATGTGCCTTCAGGATTGTAGCCTAGCTTCTCACCACTAGGCCACCACAGCTCCCTGAGTAGTTGAATGAAAAGATATTTTTCTATATGTTGTTGTTGGGTGTCATTATGTTGGCTCCAACTCATACAGGCTCTCTCTATAAGAGAATTAAACAAGGCCCAATAATGCATTATCCCCACAATCTCTGCAGCCACTGTGTCAATTTTTTATGCTGAGCACCTACTTTCCCCCACCCCCATGACCCTCCTCAAATTTCATCATTAGTGCTTCCAGAGAACTCTGTCTATACTTCTTCCAAGATTTGTTATTTTAACAGTTGAGGGCATATACAATTTCTCCCCAAAAGCACCATTCAAAGTCTCAATTCTTCTTAAGTCTTCCTTATCCACTGTCCTACACTCACAGGCATATGAGGCAACTGAATATATCATGGCTTGGGTAAGGTTCACCTTATTTCTCAAAGCAATATTTTTGCAAAGCAGTAACTTTTGGTAGAAATTTGTACAATGTAATATATACTTGATTTCCTGATTGCTGCTTCCATGGTCATTAATTGAGAATTCTAGTAAAAATAAATTCTTCAATCATTTCTGCCTTTATTATGATGTTGTTTATTTGTCCAATTTGGAATTTTTTTGTTGTTGTTGACATGTAATCCATATGCTGCTAGACTCTCCTAGAAACATGCCCAAAGTATGTGAGTTGAAGCATTATCATCTTTGCCTACAAGGAGCACTCTGGTTATACCTTCTCCAAGACATATCTATTTGTTCTTTTAGCAGTCCATGGGATATTCAGTATTTTCCTCCAACACCAAAGAATTCACAGAGTAGTGTATAATCTTTAACTTTCATCAAAAAGTGCTGCAAGTTTTCATTTTCTTCAAGCAAGATTGTATCATCTGTATATTGCAGATTGTTTCACTTTTCCTCCAACCCAGATGCCACATTCTTCATATAGATCAGCTTCTCTCAGAAAACGGAATGAACAGGTATAGTGAAAGGATACAATCCTGACACACACCTTCTCTGATTTTAAACCATGTGAAATTCTTTGTTCTTTCCAATTGTTTATTAGTCTATGTACAGGCTTTTCATGAGAAAATTAAGTGTTCTGGACTTCTTATTCTTCTAAATACTATCCATAATATGTTATCGTTCACACAGTAGAATGTATTTGTATACTAAGTACACAAGTAAATATCTATTTGGTGTTCTCTGCTTTCAGCTAAAATCTATCTGACATAACTAAAATCTATCTGATATATATGCCTTGCTCCACTTCCTTTTCTAAATCCAGCTAGTGTGTTGCTAGATATGGTGGCCTAATGGCAAGAAGTTGTGCTTCAGTCTTCCAAGAGACCAGCTTCTCAGGGGGGGGAAGGATGGACAATCTCCTACTAATTATGTTTATTATGCAAAGATATGTAAAAATATTTGCATTAATAATTTTTAACATCTCAAAGTATTTCTTACCTTATATGTTACTTAAGAAGATTAAAGAACTGTTGAAAAAATGAACAAATGAAGCTTGAAGCTTTAACTATCCTTAGCCACTAGTCAGACATACACATTAATAAAGCTGTAATATACTGAAGTGTCATTTCCTTTGCAAAGGTTCAGATTCAATAGCATAGTGAATTCTGACTGGTTCATTCTGAATTTTGGTTTTGAAATGGAATTACAAAAGAGGCTCAATTTTTTAGCTATAAGGAAGTCCATCAGAACTACAATGGGTTAAATATAGAAAATGAAAGAAAACCAAATCAAATATACTGTTGGTTAGTTGATTTCCTGGGGATCTTCCATTGGGTTTCCAATACTCTAAATTTTAAGAGGAACTGGTAGTTTCAAATTACTGACCTTTCAATGATTATATTTATATGTAACACACTAAAAGTTCACTATAGAAATATGAAAATAAATAGATTTCCATAAAGTATACTGCAATAATTAACAACCTATGATAAAACTGACAATTCAAAATTGTCTATCTGCTTCTTGATTATAATTTCGTGAAATTTGGCACGAAATTATTCTGAGTTGGTTTCTTGTTACAGATGAGATTGCTAACGAGAGATGTAACTATTAGGACACATAAATATATTGGAAAAGTAATCACACGTGGAGCTTCCTAAATTTAGAGATAGAGAACATTTAAAATATTTTAAAATATCATAGTATTGTATGGAAGCATTACTGCATTCATGGAAATGTATATTAAAATCCTTCAGGTACCACTTACCCTTTTCTGTTCTTTTACATACTCTATCAACTCGTCTCTTGTTTTCTTCACTGCTTCTTCCACAGCCTTTTCACTTCGCTTCTGCTCTTCTATTATTGCTGCTTTAACTGTTTCCTGTTTGAGGAAGAAGAAAAAAGTCAAGGAAATACAGACGATGACATATTTATTTGTTTTCCCTTTATGTAAACCAAAAACTCTATTCAATGAGTTAGAACTCATTCTATTCAAACAGTATCTTTAAACAGGAATAAGATCTCACAAAGTCTTCGGGATCTGAGGAGTTTTACAGAATTCACTTTCTAAACTGAATGAAAGGGAAAATGGAATAAGCAATTTATTGTAGGGAGCGCCTGACAGACTCCAATGGCTTCCTCACCAACTTTTCATTTAATGTTTACATGATTGATTGCCTTCCTGTACTTTGCACTATCCACCTAAGACTTCCAGCTTGTGTTTATTCTTCCAAGAACACCCAAATGCTCCAGTTGGTTTATTCTCGTTTAATTTTCCCATTATACAATAACCAAGTGTGGTCTGAATGGTAAGATTTACAGCTAGTTTGGTCTTCCCGCCAGGTTAAGATGCTGAGAGCTGAACACCATGAATTAGAGGTAAAATTTCTATAATATGTGCAAGTAATTGAAACAAGTGATTAAAAAAAAAAGATACTAATTCTCATTTCACTGAAATGTCATAATCTGAAATAAAGGTTTAACAAAGATTAAAATATTAATTCTTACACTGTGATGGGAATATCGATTAGTTAATTAGCTAGTTAGTTAGTTATATGCCATCAAATCAGAATTGACCCACTACCCACAGCTCACCTTCAGAGGCTACAAATTACATGGGAGGAGACTGTTTATTTTTTTCCTGCAGAGCAGCTGGTAGATTTGAATCATCTATGTTTGGGGTTGGCAGTGTAATTTATCTACTAGGCGACCAAAGCTCCCATAAATTAATTAATTATATATATTTATATTTTTTCCTTCATATTTGTTGTTATTAACTGCCAGTGAGTCAAGTTCATGTCACAAAGCTCCTTTGAACAACCAATCTGCACCCTGTTTTATTTCATGTCATCCTCACAATCTCTGACACCTTAAGCCCATTGCCACCATCACCATCAACTCACCTGGTTGAGGGTCTTTTCTCTTTTGGCACTCTCTACTTTAATAAGCATGATGTCATTCTGCAACATGCCCACAGTACGTGAGAAAAAGGTTCATCTTTGCCTCCAAGGAGCACTCTGGCTGCATCTTCTCCAAAGCATTATCTGTTTGTTCTTTATGCAGTCCATGGTATATCCAACACCACAGTTCAAAGACATCATACTTCTGTCATCCTTACTCATTGTCTAGCTCTCATATGCATAGCAAGTGAGACTGAAAAGACCATGACCTGAATCAGGTGCACCTTAGTCTTCAAACTGACATCACTACTTCTCAATAATTTGAAGAGGTCCTGGATTACAGATTTTCACAGAGCAATATACTGCTGGTATTGGTTGTGGATATATTAGTAAGATGAAGTTGTTGGTAGTTTCAATATGTCTCTGTATCATGATTTTGCCTATAGATCCAGTGGTTTTTATTTTCTTTATGTTGTAATGCAATCCATATGGAACACTGTAGTCTTTGATTTTTTGCAGCAAGAGCTCCAAGCCCTCCTTACTTTCAGAAAGCAAGACTGTGTCTTCTGCCTATTGCAGGTTACTGATGAGGCTTTCTCCAGTCTTGATGCCACATTCTTCTTTATAGAGTGCATCTTCGTGCATAATTTGCTCAGCATATACATTAAATACATATGGAGAAAGGATACAAGTTTGACACACACTTTTCTTACTTTTAAACCATGCAGTATTCCATTGCTCTGTTCATAGAACAGCCTCTTGGTCTCGGTACAGGTTTCACATGAGCACAGTCAAGGGTTCTGGAATTCTCATTTTTCTGTTAGCCAAAATATGTTATGAAATACACAGTGAAATGCCTTTGCATAGTCAATAAAGCACAAATAAACATTCAGTTGGTATTCTTCTATTTCAGCCAGGGTCCACTGACATAGCAATGATATCTCTGGTGCAATAGTCTCTTCTAAATCCAGTTTGAATGCTTGGCAGTTCTCTTTGTGCTGTTCTAGTCATATTTGAGTGCTCTTCAGCAGTATTTTCCTTGCATGTGATATTAATTATATTGTTCAATAATTTCTACATTGTGTTGGATCACCTTTTTCAGGAATGGGAACAAATAAATACAGCCCAGTAATAGTCCTCCAAATTTCCTAGCATAGATTGGTGAGCACGTCCAAGGATGCTTCTGTCATCTGAAACATTTTAATTGATATCTCATCTATTCCTGAGCCTTATTTTTTGCCAATATCTGCAATGCAGCTTGAATTTTTTCCTTCATTGTCATTGGCTTCTGATCACATGGTACATCTTGAAATATTTCAGTGTCAGCTAATTCCTTCTGGTACAGTGATTCTGTGTATTCTCTCCATCTTTTTTTAAAAGTTTCCTGGATCATTAAAGATTTCACCTATAGCATACCTAAGTACTGGAATTTAAGGCTTGAATTTGTTTCTTAGTTCAGATACATTTATATATATAGTACATACACATACACACAGTTTTTGATATTACACCTAGTTTTACCATAATGAATTTAGATAGGTAGATATAACCTGTGTTGTTGTTGTTTGTTATGTGCCGTTGAGTCACTTGCAACTTACAGGGACCCTACGTCTGATATACTTTGGACATGTTTCAAGGTGGGATCAGTCCTTGAAAAGGGATGTCATGCTTGGGATGGGGGGTGGAGGGACAGCACAGGAGAGGAAGACCCTCTATAAAATGGATTGATTCAATTACTGGGGTACTGGGGATAGGCATGTTGGAGTCAATATGATTGGCAAGGGCTAGAGCAGGGTTTAAGGTTGTTGTACATAGGGTCGCTATGAGTAGCTGTAAGTATGAAATGTAATCTAGAAGATACAAAATATCATTTAAAAAACCCTATAAACTCCGTAAACAGAAAGAAATGATGTTAATTATAGAACAGAGTTCAGATGGTTTGTTCATAGGGTCACTATGTATTGAACTGGAACTGCCAAATGAGATTAGTGTTGCTATATTTTGGATGACCATTCTTCTACTTTGTGCATCACTCCTTGTCAATTTGCAGTACTGAGGTAATTTTGGTTTGCCTTGATACTGAACTTTGTTCCACTGGGATATCAAATACCATGTGTTTACCAGTGTGGACAGTATTTGGTGGAGCTCCCAATTGTAGGACATGCCTATAGAAACTCTATGAACCTGAAGAAATGACGATTGTTATAGAAAGGTCTTTTGTTCATAGAGTCGCTATGAGTCGTACTCAACTCAACGGTAATCAGCAACAACAACATAGAGATCTAGTGCTAAGTGGTAAGAAATGGCACTCCCAATGCAAAGGTACATGGTTCAAATCTACCAGCTGCTTCACTGGAGAAAGATGGCCAATCTTCTCCCATCCAATTTACTTCCTTTGAAGACCCGCTGGTGAGTCAGTTATAGGTTGGTTCCAACTCTACAGTACACAACACAACACACAACACATGCTGAATATGCACACTATTAAAAAATATGAAAACAGAAAAAGAACTGAGCATGTAAGTAAACAAACACACATATAAGCAATGTGGGTAGGGTTGAAATCATTGTACACGCTCGTTTCTAGCTGCCTTTTTTTCACTCAAAATTTCTTTTTTAGAAGTTATTTATTATTTTATAATGTGATTCCTATTCTAATATAGAACTGTATAAAATTTATTTAACCAATCTTTTCATAGATGTTTTAATTACTTTTAATAAAGCCATAAAGGGGATACTATAACTAATGTTAGATGGATCTTGGCTGAAAGCAGAGAATGTCTTTATGTATTTCATTGACTATGCAAAGGCATTTGACTGTGTGGATCACAACAAACTTTGGCTAACTCTGAGAAAAATAGGAATCCCAAATCATTTGATAGTGCTTATGCAAAACCTATACTTGGACCAGGAAGCAGTCGTCAGAACAGAGTAAGGAAACACTGCATGGTTCAAAACTGGGAAGGGTGTATGCCAGGGATGTATCCTATCTCTTTTCAATCTATATGCAGAACACATTATTCAGAAGGCTACAAATATGGCATCAGGATTGGAGGAAGACTCACCAACAATCTGTGTCATGCAGATGACACAACCCAGCTTGCTGAAACTGAGGACCTGAAGCACATGCTGAAGAAGGTCAAGGCCTGAAGCCTCTAATATGAAGCTCAATATCAAGAAGACAAAGATTCTCACCACTGTGCCGATTGGCAGCATCATGATAGATGATGAAGAGATTGAGAATGTTAACAGCTTTAGTTTGATAGGCTCCACAATCAACACTCTTGGTACAAGCAGCAAGGAAATTAAAAGACAAAAGACATTGGAAAAGTCTGCTGTCAGAGACCTCTCTAAAGTATTGAAGAGTGATGATGTCAGTCTGCAGACTAAGGTTCACCTGATTTAGGCCATGATCTTTACCATTACTTGCTCTGCATCAGAAAGCTGAAAAATTACTAGGGATGACAGAGGGAGAATTGATGCCTTTGAGCTGTGGACAGCTAGGAGCTCAAACAGGTTCATCCTAGAGAGGGTGAAACCAAGCTGCTCCTTGGAGGCAAGGATTCCAAAGCTTTATGTGACATACTCTGGACATGTTATAAGGAGGGAACAGTCTTTGGAAAGGGAAATCGTGTTTGGGAAGGTGGAGGGACAGTGCAAGAGAAAAGAGACCCTTGATGAGATGGATTAATTCAGTGACTAGGGTAATGGAGGCAGGAGTGTAAGAGACAATAAGACTGACACAGGACAGAGGAGGGTATAGGGCTCTTGTACATAGGGTTGTTATGAGTTGCCAGTAACTCAATGGCACATAACAACAACAACAACATATATCCAGAGGTACATTTATAGACATAACTTTAGTATAAATTCAAGATGTGAAATAATTTGTCAAAAGACCTGAACTTTCTTAGGGCTACTGCTATATTTATACATTTTGCCCCTTGCATAAGCAACCCTGGACTACGGTTGTATCTTTGAA